GTTTTTTTCACATTTAAAAGCAGCTTATGATTTTCACACCATTCAGAAAAATTAAGTACAAAATTCCGGTAAGCGGTTTAATATATATAAATACATAGATACTGGTGTGTGGAGACAAGTCAAGTGTATGTATTGCTGCACTGATTTGTTCACATTTATGAGTGTAGATCTTTCATACTTTTATAGGCCTGCTCTGCTTGAATTTGAATAAGCACAAAATCTGTCAGCGTAAACTTACTGGATGGACCAGAGCTCGTACTTGAGTATGACTGCCTTTACCTTTTTGTACCCTGAATGTATGCCTGAGTCTGTAGTGTTTTATATCTGACAACTGACCCAAAGTAGCTCAGAACCGGTATCTGTGGTGTAATGGTTAGGCTTGTCAGTGCCACATGCAGAAGATTCAAGTTCAATTCCCATGTGGGGAGAATTTTGATCAAATATCTCTCCTTTTTCCTGCTGGGACTATGAATCCTTCTCGGCCGAGGTTGACCCTGACAGGCATGGTGGAAACAGCTGGCCTCCAAGATGATCTAGATTGTTTCAATGCGGGCATAAAATACCTGCATTTGATGAAAAAAAAAAATGCAACTGGTCTTTTGTTCTAAAGAAGAGCAGTGCTCTTAGAGTTAAGATTGCAGTCCTTACATACTCTTCATAGTTTGCTTGAGTAAGCTTTAAATGTAACAACTTAAAATGATATAGTATAGGTATGGGAACTCTTCGAACTGGGAACACTTTAACTAGGCCTTGGACAGAAAAGGGTCCCACCTTTTAAAATGGACACAGTGTGGTGGGTAACCTTGCTTTTCTTCTATTAAGAAATCTTTATCACTGCTTCAAATGGCTGCTATTGTGTCAATGTACTTCTCTTGATCCATGAAACAATACTCTGTCCTGTTGTTTTGCAGGTATTATATCATGAAGACGGTAGTGTGAAAGGTATTGCTACCAATGATGTCGGAATAGCGAAAGATGGATCGCCCAAGGTAGGTCTACTTCGGGTCTGTTCTGCATGTGAAGACTATGATGTAAAAAAAATGATCAAAGTCACAAACTATCGGGTTGGTGTCCAATCGCGATTTTTTAAAAACCTAGAAAGTGTTGATTTGGGGTTGCCAAATCTTTTAGCAATATCCATTTTAGTGCAGGACTTCTTGTCAACCTCTGCTAAAATCTGATGCTTGTTTTTTTTTTTGGTCAAACAATGAGTTTTCTCTTCTCTGCCATAATGAAAAGGATAGAAGGATGGATAGTGCCCGCATTGTGTGCTATTGTATTGCAAGTTTACCCATGGAGATCAATTGTTGTAGGTTTTTATTACTTATAGTTTGGTTTTTTAAAATAAATATATAATTTATGTAAATTCTGTCTTCACACAGGACTCTTTTGAGCGTGGGATGGAACTGCATGCTAAAGTGACCATGTTTGCTGAAGGTTGTCACGGGTCTCTTTCGAAGACTTTGTTCAGTAACTTCAATCTACGAGCGAATTGTGAGCCGCAGTCGTACGGTATTGGCCTGAAGGAATTGTGGGAGATTGACCCGTCTTTGCACGAGCCGGGCCGGGTGGAGCATTCTGTGGGATGGCCTTTTGTAAGTACTGAACTAGTATTCATTATTACTTTACTGACTTTACTTTTTCATCCTCTGATGCCATTAAGCGTTGGTTGGGGGAGGAGGAGAATGCAGTTTTCTATGGTAGGCCAACTCTGCGGCTCTTTCAGATGGGATGTTATAATTTTTCAGGGTTCACTTGACTCCCTCAATCCATCTTTTGTGTCGTCTATCTCTTCCTTCACAGCCTGAGTACTTGATGTTATAGGCTTTTGAGGCTGGCTGGCAAGGTTACATTCGTAACAGGTGGCCAGACCATGTCATTTTCTGTTTTTTCTTATGACATGTATTCAGGACTCTGTGCCTATAGTTGCTCTTACTTCTTCATTTCTCTGCCTGTCTCTTTTTGTGGTGTTAAGGGTTTTGCGGACACATTTCATCTGGCTTGTAGTAATTTTGTTTTTATCTTTTTTACTTAATGTCCAGGTCCGACACCAGTAGTATAGTGTTGGTATAAATATTGAAGTCATAAGCTGTATATTTGTGTCCATGGAGATATTTGGATGAGATAGAAGGGGTGCGAGCTTATAGGTGATGGTGTTGGCTTTTTTGGTTCGTTTCTGTATTTCTCTGTCAATGGACCTGTTTTACGAAAAACTGCTGCCAAGATATTTAAACTCCTTGATCTGTTTTAGTTGTTTACTATTGACATGAATGTTCAGGGGACCCCAGTTTCGGCTTACTTTCATAATTTCTGTTTTTGATGTGCTTATTCTTGTGTCAAATATCTCGCAGCTGTTGTTTAGCTCGGTAGTGTGAGTTTGGTGGCTTTTTTAGTTTGGATGAATAAGACATTGGTGGTATGCAAACAGAAGTTCATTTTTGCTTTCTGGGCTTTGGTTTGTGTCATTATTTGTTTATTTACTATTAGTTCACACACATGAATGAAGCAAAGATTATACAGTCCTCTATCACATTATAGGGTCAAAATACTACAACATAAGGTGTTTGAAGGCACATTTTAAGTCTGACTTTATTGAGTAGTGAGGCTCGAACTCTGAATTCACGTTCTTTTTCTTTAACCCAAACCAAGGAGGTGAAGAGCCTATTTAAATAGCCACCACTTTCCCTTAGTTATATGGTAATATCAATTTTCTTCATCCACAGAAAGTGACTATATATGGTTTATTTTTAAGAAGTTGCAATGTTTTGCCTTTCACTCAATTTTGGTTGAAATTTTTTTAATTTGATATTTTTTTACATCTGTTGATTTTCTTCGTATTGATAAAAGTGACGCTCCCCTGGTTGAATTTTAAGTGTTTGAAGTTTTTTTGAAATTGGTCCAAAAGTGACTGAGTTTTTGCCCTTTAGATGTGTCCTTTTTTTTTTTACATCTGATATAAGAACACCCTGTTGGAAATTTGAACTCAGACAATCTGGACCGTCGTTCTGTGTGATACCGACTGAGCTATGGGAGCTCCAGTGGGAGGTCTAAATCTATTAGTTTTCTGTTTGGAGACTTATCTTAGAATTGAAGGCTATGCTAACCCCATTGAAAACCATAAGTTTTTACCTGGCTTACGTGAAGGAGCATTTGCTTCTAGCGCTTTCAAAGAGGATAAATCACATTCTGGTATCTCAAGGATAGTAAATCATTATTATATTTCAAAGGAGAGAAATTATTGTATGATATTTCAAGGGCAGTAAACCAGTTTGATATTTTAAAGACAGTAAATCACAGTGTGATATTTTAAGGAGAGTAGATCATAATATTATATTGTGATATTTAAAAGACAGTAAATCTCATTATGATATTAGAGACAGTATAGTATTTTGATATCTTTAACAGTAAATCATACTATAATGTTTCAAAGACAATAACTCATGTTGTGTTGTCTTGGAATTTCATAAACAGTATATCACATTATGATGTTTTAAAAACTGTAAATCACATTGTTGTTTCAAAGGCAGTAAATCATATTATGTTTTGATATTTCTAAAACAGTAAATCACATTCTGGTATTTCAAAGACAGTGTAAATCACATAACAGTGTTTCAAGGATAGTAAATCACAATTTTGTATTTTTACCCCTTTTCAGGACAGGGACACCTATGGAGGTTCTTTCTTGTATCATATTGAAGATGATGGAGCACCTTTGGTGGCAGTGGGAATTGTTGTAAGTGTTTGTATATCATGAATTGTTGTGTATGTTTTTATATCGTGAGTTGTGGTAAGTGTTTGTATATCATGAGTTATTGTAAGTGTTTGTATATCATGAATTGTTGTGTTTGTTTGTTAATGAATTGTTGTAAGTGTTTGTTTGTGTCATGAGTTGTGGTAAGTGTTTGAATATCATGAGTCATTGTAATTGTTTGTTGTTGTAAGTGTTTGTTTATGAGTCGTAAGTGTTTGTATAGCATGAGTGGTTGTGTTTGTAGATCATGCATAGTTGTTAGCTTTTGTATATCATGAGTCTTTGTAAGTGTTTATAGATCTTAGGTTGCTTTGTTTGTATTTCATGAGTTGTTGTAATTATTTGTTATTGTATATGCTTGTTTATCATGAGTGATTTTAAGTGTTTGTATATCATGAGGCTACTTATACCTCATTATTGAAGGACTTTGTTTAGTTGACTGATTTCTGCTTTTTGCTGGGATGTCATATCCCCTTCAGCACGGGCTGGCCATGACAGGGAGGGTCAATACTTGCTTCCCAAGTTATTTAAATTGTCTCGTTGGAGGCGTAAAAACAACTACATTTTAAAAAATAGTAAAATTTAATGACTTGTTTATCTTCCTGTCCCAGGTTGGTCTTGATTATACAAACCCTTATCTGAATCCATTCCAAGAGTTCCAGAGGTTCAAGCTGCATCCGGGAAATGTGAAGTTGTTTCAGAGTGGCAAAAGAATAGCCTATGGTGCCAGGGCGTTGAATGAAGGTGGTTTCCAGGTCTGTATTATTGTCTTTTTTTACGTTGAACTTTTACATTCTCATGTGATAAAATGTGCTCACATGGGCACAGAAATAAGTAGAAAAAATTTCTTTTTTTTTGTTTGTTGTAATGTGGAAATTTTTTGCAATTTTGAACTTTCTTGATGATTGGCAGTCCACATTGATACATGCTGCATTCTAAATCATGACTCTTCTGTGCTAAATTACAACTTTTCTGGACTAAAAAATAACTTTTATTAACTAGATCATAATTTCTGTTCTAAATCGTGACTAGTCTATGGATGTCCATCACTTTTCTGTACTAAGCCATGACTTCTTTTACTTGACAAATAGAGTATACCTAAGCTGACATTCCCTGGCGGTTGCCTAATTGGCTGTAGTCCAGGTTTCCTGAACGTGCCAAAGATCAAGGGAATCCACAATGCAATGAAGAGTGGAATGGTTGCTGCTGAAGCCGTCTATGAAAAGATTGTTGAAGAAGAAACTAACCCCTCTTCTCAAACCGTTGGTAAGGAAATTTCTAGGGTTGAGTTCAGCCAATGATCGTACATAACAAGATGGTCCACTCAGCCAAAAAAGTGTCCGCCGGAAGTCTGTACAATGGCTCAGATGGCGCTGCAGTCTTTGTTTTGAAGCTGTCTTTCGTTTCTCTAGAAGAGGAATAGGAATAGCACCTCCTTGCGTGCGCTGATAGGCTGCTGTTCATCAGCTGTTCGGGTTCGTTCAGTGCGGAGGTTTATTTATTTATAATTTTAATGACCTCTCACCTCTCATTCTAAAGTCAAATGAAACGAAGAAAACAGTCGCCTCTTTCCTCCGGAAGAGGTTTTTTGTCAGCGTAGCCATTTAAAAAAAAGTGTTCTTCTGAAATATGAATTCTTATTTATTCAGAATTTAACCGGTACATCGTAAAGGTTCATTATTCACTGCTCTAGATACTGCTCATTTCAGTGCCATGAACAAGCAAGCGAGCTAAACTGATGAGGCTTATCTTGGTTGAGCGCATGGTTCAGCTTGTTCATTAAGTCACAATATCACAATGCAGTCCTGCTAGCACCTAGTATCGATCTTCAAGAAACGGTGCACATTTCGTGCACAGGTTGATTTTATCACCCAGGTGTTGTATGTCCACAGCTCGTTTGCTCTTTCTCAATTTGGTAATGAATCAGTAGGTCTAGATGTAGGCCTATCGAGTGCTTGCTCGGACACTACGATACAGCCAGCTCATTGTTAGGCCTAGCTTGTCACGCAGCCACTTTGCCGTCTCATTAGTGCCCAATGTGCTGAAGTCGTGGTGATCAGCGGTACATCTAAGGGTTACAGTGGGTGGTACTCATGAATCATTTAATCCGGTGCTCGCAAACCGGTCCGCTCGTTTTTCGAGCACTTGCTGCCCCATTAGAAATCCCCAGCACCCCTTTCTCATTTCCTTGTTTTAAAAAACTCCAATGTCACTCTTTGTCCATTCAACTTAATGAATTGGTTTTTAAAGAACAAGTTCTCTAAAACGTGCACAGAGCTTGAACCTAAGCTTCATGTTAGTAGAAAATAAATTTGTATGCTTTAGCCCTTTGAGTCCTGGTCACCTTATAGAACCAATGCATTTGAGGGCACTGTTTGATAACCTTACAGTGTTGAAAAGGATCTTGAACTTGTACAATTTCACAATTTTCACAGGAGATAAACTGTAAGCTATAAATTTGTCGCAAAATTATATATAGACCTATGATTTTATCTCTTTAGTTTTCATAATTGATTCCTGTTGATACTCATATGTGATGTACTCCGCAGGACTCGACCCTTCATCATATGAAGACAGGATTCGTTCCAGCTGGGTCTGGTCTGAGTTGAAAGCAGTAAGGAACGTTCGCCCATCCTTCCATACACCTCTGGGCATGTACGGAGGTCTGGCCTACACAGGAATCATGTACTACATCCTGCGTGGACTCGAACCCTTCACTTTGTCCCATGGAGGTGAGAGCACACAGTGGAAGAAAGTTACGTTTTGCTTGAGAAAAGTGTAGTCTTGACTTTCTGTGGGTTTTTTTGTTTGCGTGTGTGAAATATTTATCCCCCATGGACACCACTTAGTTCATTTAGGAGGCGGGCTGATGTGACCCTGGCTGAGTGGGTTGCTGCATCCCAGCAGAAAACTGGAAATATTTGCTAAAATGTGTCACGACGTGATGGAATCAGGTGCTCGTCAATTTTTGGCCATATGGAGTTTTTGCAATAATCTTCAAGCCTGTGCAGCTTTGGATGAAAAAAAAAAATACCCATCCATCTTGAATAGAATTGGAAGTATTTGCGATTGAAGGAAGTGAGGTTCACCTGGTGTCTGAAATAAAATTACCTAGAAGATAGCTACCAAAGTTCGCTGACTTCCAAAGCTTGAGGATCCTTGGAAATGTCAATTTTACATTTTTTTAAAGTTACGATAAAAATTTCCCAAAGAGCGGAAAAATGCTGGTTTCTCTTATTTTATTATTTTAATGAGTGTGTGGCTTCAACACGAAACCACTCAAATAGACTCTGCCATTTGGGATTTAAACTCAGGTCGTCTGCCTGCAATGGTGAAAGGCCTAACCATTCATTATACCACAGATACTTGTGTTTTCCGATATATTGCAGATCAAAACTTCACTAATTTGCTATTGGGATCATTGTAACAAAAAGGCTACTTTGTGCATTAGTTGGCCAAAATGTTTCCGTCTTTTATGGCCTCTCATCTATGCCAGCCACATTCAGACGTAATTCAGAAGTTTCTCAAATTGAGTTAATACTATTTTCCAAAGCTGTTACATTTTCCTTGCAATAAAAGAAGTGAAGTCTGCCAGACAATATTTGACGAAAAATTGAAACTTTAATACAGTGAAACTTGGATTGAGTGGAAGGTGAAGAAGAATTCTACCTTGTTTTAAATCATAAATATCATACTTGAATATATTACATCAAACCATACACACCTCAGAAATAAATCAAAATTGTAGCCTATACATACAAATACAGTGGCATAAAGTTGTTCATTTTTATATAAAATGAAACCCAAAACCTCAAACTTTCAAGAGATAAGAAAAACAAAAACCCTCCAAAAGCTGATTTTTTTTTTCCTTTCGTGCCTTGTCGCAAGGAATAGCCCAGTGCGTCATACGTCTGATTATGATTGGTGCTGACACATATTGATACAGAATACATAAGGCTCAAGTTTTTGGTAAATATCACTTTGACTCCATTGAGTTTTGAGTTGTTGCTTAATCTTTGGCATTCTCTTTCATGCTTGATATGAGCCCTTTTGGCTATGTTATGTAAGGTTTTACGTAACAGATTTTTTTGTTTTGTTCATGCTATGAAGCCGTGATTGCAGGTGGTTGAAGGGTGCCACTAGTATTTCCAAAGTTTTACCATCGGTCTCTTTATTTTTGCTTGTTTGTCTTTCTTTTCCCCAGGAATTATGTCGATGTGCTTCTCTTTACTCTGGCTCATACATTTCTGACAAAGCTGTTAGTTACATGATAACAATAATAATAATAATAATTTCCAGGGAAGCATACAGTGCAACTAGCTGCCATTTTATAGGTACTAAAACACTAACGTACCGGCAACATAATCTCTCGCTTATTTTAAGAACAATTTCAGCCTCTCAAATTACAATTTTCTCTGCCCTCACTTGACAGGTCCTGACTACTCAAAGCTGAAGCCGGCCTCCGAGTGCAAGCCCATAGAGTACCCAAAGCCTGACGGGCAAGTGACCTTCGACCTGCTTTCATCTGTGGCCTTGACTGGCACCAACCACGACCACGATGAGCCGGCACATCTGACCTTGAAGGACGACAGTGTGCCCATGGCCAGAAACTACGCTGTGTTTGATGGACCAGAACAAAGATTTTGCCCTGCAGGTAACCCCCTCTTTTACAATTTTTAAAACTTGTATATGCTTAGAATATGGCCCACAAGATTTAAAGATTTTAACTTTTTTGATCAATCAACAATTAAAAAAAAACCCCAGCAAAATTCCAGATATCTTCATTACTATTTGAGATTATGAATATTCACATGAAGTAGGATAAAAAAAACAACAAAAAAAGCAACTAAATTTTAAGGAAAACAATTTTAAAGTGAAAATAATACAGTGTAAATACAGCGGTCAGAGTCACGGATTACTACTTCCACAAGCCTGAGGTTAAAATAATTTCTACACTCACTATGCATTAACATACAGAGAAGAGACTGAAGAAAAAGCGTTAAATGACATATTGCAGTTCATGGACAATGAAGGGGAGAACATGTTTGCTTTTATGGGAAGAAATATGAAAAATAGAATTGTTATTGTATCAGATTAACCTGCAAACTTCTTAGTAAGTAAGTAAGTAAGTGTGTGGGTTTAATACCCCTATCAACACTATAAGATTATTTAAGAGGCGGGACCTTCATATCTGAAAGGACCAAGCCAAATAGGTTGAGAGCCTTGAAAACACCACAAAATGTCCTGGGTTCTAGAGCATCCAATTGAAGATAAGAACCAGGGCCGTCTCCTCCATAGTCCAGCAAGAGACCAACTGAGCTAGTGGAGCACTGCTTGCCTCTTGCTCTGATCCTCACTTTGAATATCTCTAGTGCCGGAATAAAAGTTTGAACACAACTGTGCCGTGATGATGTTAATTGTTGTGTGCTGTGAACTGCCCCCAACACATGCATGTAAAAGTGTGTTAGTTATGGTTTACTGTGTATTTTATTGCCGTAGAGTATATTAATTATCGCGGGCAGTATTGCATACAGACATATCTGAAAGGCCGCCTACAATGACTTACGTCCGTATGTAATACTGCCTGCATTGTATTGTACTGTATACCTCCCTGTCATGTAGTGTGTTGATTATGGTTCACTTTGTATTTTTCGTCCTGGAGTGCGTTGATTAGGGTTTACTGTGTACTTTTCTGTCCTGGAGTATGTTAATCGTAATTAATTGCTATGTGTTTTACCCTACAGGTGTGTACGAGTATGTAGAGACAGAAGATGGCACCGGCCACCGCCTTCAGATCAATGCTCAGAACTGCATCCATTGCAAGACCTGTGATATCAAGGACCCAAGTCAGAACATCAACTGGGTGTGTCCTCAGGGAGGGGAGGGTCCAGCCTACAACGGAATGTAGGTGGAAGGATGGATGGAAAAATTAGAATGATGATAACTTCGTCCCGGTTGTAACGAAATTGCCGAAGTTAGTTCTTGTTGTTAGAGAAAACTTTGAAATGCTGTTCTTTCCTAAGTTAACCCTATGACTTTAGTAAAAGTAGAAGGGTTTTCAATTAATTGAATGTTTGGTTCAAGAAGCAAAACCCTGTTATAATGAGGATATGAAACAAGCATCAGATGTTTTTTTGTACCATACAAATAACTACCCACCAGGGGGAAAATGGCTATTGCAATTTGTTTTATTAACATTTTGTTTGCTTCTTGTATGCAGTTGTGTGACATATTGATGTGAACAAATGCAGCCCCCCCCCCCCCCCCCCCTCCTCAAACTACCACCACAAGCAGCAATTTGGAGGGCTATTGGAGCAGTATCAACTTTGAGATTATTTATAGGGTGCTTCGAAAAGATTTTCACACTTGAACGTTTTTTTGTTTACATTCTTCACTAGCATTAGCCACCTGTTTGATGTATCAACTTGCTATGTACTTCAATCTCCTGGTGTTCTTATTCTTTTGCACTTAATGAAAGTGAAATTAGATTCTGTCTGCTGACACTCACTCTGACTCTCTTTTGTTGTTAAAAATATAGTGGAGACTACAGCTTAATGTCAGTGATCTATTTCTATCATAGCCATAGCCAAACTAACCACTGAGGAAATCTTGTGGAAGACACATGTGGCATGTCAAGGCAAATTTGTTGTACATGCAGATAGTGCGAGTTTCTGCCAAGAAGCAAAGTCTTTACTCTTTCCTGTTCAGATGGATTTTCATGGTTTTGTCCAACCCATGTGTTGTAGATATGATGAGTTGACGTTTATGTTTGGAGAGGCCAGTTACTGGACATAATTTGCAATGGAGACTTGTTACATAGCAAAAGGATTGCAACTGAATAATGTACAAGGAGATGTATTTTTTAAAATGTGCACAGAATGGGTGTACTATTGGGGGAAAAAATGTCTGAGGAGACCATACCATTTCGATGATAGATCATGAATTGGCCCAGATGTGGCACTGGTTCTCGACGAAATATTGTAAATTAAGGTCAGATGCTCAATGTGACTTTCCTACCAGTTTGAACAGCTTTTTGAAGCATCCTGTACATTACATTACATTCATTACACTTCTGTGAAGATAGTCAAAGTTCAAGTGTGAAACATGCTAGCTGTTTTTATGAAAGAAAAGACAGTGAACATTTTTCAGACCTGTTCTGGACTTCCAATTTTCTTTACATGTCAGCATGAAATAATATTATCTCACTGTTTTATTATTTGTTAATTTTATTTTAAAAGCTGTCGTAGGCAATCAATTCTAATTAATGGGCTTTAACAAAGGAGGGAAAGGCGTGAGATGCTCTTTACTGTATCTACTAGTCCCAGAAGTTGGGCCCTAACCTTGGGTTGGGCTCTTCCTCAAGTGATTCTTTTCTTTTTAACTTTTCACCGTTTAGTGCTTAAGCTTTTAGAAAGGAAAAATTGATCATTCGAATTATGATTTATATATATAAGCTCATGCTGATTGTTGGTATTTCAAATATTTCAGTTTTGAATCGGCAGTTTGTTCAAGGACAGGGTGATTCAAATGTGGCATTTGAATATTGTTATAGATTTACGTTATTATTTTCATTCGGTAGCTTATTGCTGCATTGTTCACAGTATTGTTTCATTTTATTTAAAAAGTAAGTTTGAAGAAAGTGTTGTGAGGAAGGGCGACGCTATATTCTGTCATCTCTGCCTTCCTGCCTATTCTGTCCTTATTCTGGCTTCTGCACCAGATGGACATTTTGAGAGTCATTTTTTGCATCTTGTAAACTGTACTTTCATTTTTAACAGCACTATTTTCCTTCTGATGTCACTTGCTTTTTAAAATGATTTTCAGTTGTGCAAATCTTGCAGTGAAAATAAAATCAATGAGGAGGTGATGGGAACCCCCCCGTAGTGTGGAAGTGTGGACATGATGTGAATGAAATGAAGTGCTGTGGTGATTTCTACTAAAAGTCATGGTTTTGTTATGTCCTGTATGATTGGTGTGTATAAGTTTACTGTAGAATATCTGTGGAGTTGTTAGGCACAATTATTCTAACACTAGTGCCGTTTGACCACTGCTACCTCGTACTCTTAAGGCTGGTACTGAGCAAACAACATGTGCTGACCAAGCAGTCAACATTTGTTCAGTGTATTCCTTGGACCTGTTCTGTAAGGATGCTTTACAAATTAACAGTTATGACTGTGACAATTTCATTTACTATGTGAGAATATTTTAGAGAGAGGATCAGAACCCATGTCCCTGCTTACATGTGAAATAATTGTTTAGATCAATGGTTCCAGTCACATGTGTGGCTTTTATCGTAGATCGAACCCACTTGTTGGACAGGGCTTGGGATCTCTCCCAGCTGCTAGAAGCTGAATCATTTGAGAAAAGCACAAAAAGGTGGTAGCTATAGCCTCAACACCAGAAATCTACATTGAACATATTGGACTAAACCGTTTAACACACTGATATAATGAGACGAGGGAGCCAGTAATTTCTTCTCATGGCTATCCACTCACTTGACTTTTTGTGATCAGAGAATGTTATTTTGGAGACCCAGTCTCTTGAATAAATTCTCACAATGTTAAAATTAAAACTCACATAGTACTACTACTAGTACAGCGTAAGCTTAGAACGAGAATGCCTGTGTGTAGAATTAAAAGATGACAGGTTGAGATGGTGTTCGGGTGTCTGTACTCTCTGTGTGTACATATATGCATCCGTGTATACAGGAGCCTGTATTACCTATGTGAACATTGTTTGGGTACACAGGCGTCTGTTTTGTACGTGCGTCTATCTGTGTATACTTTTGTATTCTCTACGTGTACATGTTCGTGTATACAGAATGTGTACATGTTTCTGTATTCTCTATATATGTACATGCATCTGTATTCTTTATACAGGTGTTTGTATTCTCCCTGTGCTTGATTTGAAGGGGTCTGTGCTCTGTGTGTGTTCAAGCATCTTTGTGTACAGACGTCTGAATTAAAATCATGACACAATGGAAACAAATACACACAGTTGAAACATCTTTTTGATTTTTTTTGTTCCTTTTTCCCCCAGATGGTTTGCCTTTTTTAAAACCAATTATCAAAGTATTCTTAAATTGTTGAATTATATAGATCTATGTTTTATTTTACTGGTGATCACAGTAATTTAAACAGTTTTTAAAATAATGAAACAGGCTTCAAAATGAAAGGGGGAACAATATTCTTTATCATAAATATAGTATATCATTTTAATGTTGTGCGGGCTAGAGATTCTATCTGAACTATACTTCAAAGTGAAAGAGTAAATCATTTTTTAAAAAGAAGTAATTGTTTAGGTGGTGCAATATGTGAACTGGACATTTTTTGTAAGGGAAAATTCTATGTATGTGGGGCTTTGTGAAGGAATGCATAATATTCAATTTTTAAAATTCGCTTTTTCACTTTAGATTGAGAGGACAACTTTTCGTTTAAAAATGTTTTGTATTTGCTGCTGCCAGCGGCTTAATGCTGCTTCAGTTCAGTTTTTTCGTCAGCAGCCTCTTCATTGTGAGTCAGATAATCAGCTCTTTCAGCACTATTCACTTTGGATATAATACAGTTTGTTCTCCACAAAGCCACTTTGCATTATTATGATATATATCGTCAGCCAGCCGTTCGAATGTATTAATCCCAGAATTTTGAAACTTTATTTTATTGCAATTTCTTAGTATGTGGTAGTGGTTGCATGTAATCAAAAAATATTTTATGGTTATTCAAATTCTGAATGTTGGGAAGAGCAAGAAAATGTACATCATTTTGGTAAAATTGTTAAAAGAAGTTTTGCTATCTCCTGTACAATTGTGCTTTCTGGGCTTACTACATTTTAACAGCTGTCTGACGGTATATTTATTTTATTATTATAATTATAATTATTATTACATATATATATATATATATATATATATATATACAGTCAAACCTGAATTAATGGTCATGTCTCCATAACGGTCACCTGATTTAAATTTAAATTTATGTTGCATGACTGTCTTGGTTTTTTTTTCCCTATATCTTTAACCTGTCAATCGTGGTCCCTTTCCAACCCTGCGACGTCAGTAAGTTTCATGACAAGTGGGCCTCAAAGCCTGCTCACAGTGGTCTCTTGCTCACAGTGGTCACTTGCTTAAAAAGTTTTCCGTCAACCCACCCTCAAACTCAAACTGAGTGTACATTCAATTAGGGCAAAGAAAGTCTCTTGATAGAGGTAACAATACTTGATGGAATGGAAATGAAAAGATGAAATTTAGAATTCAGATTCATCTGTTAACTTTGTCGAATCTAGTGAGTGACCATAACTCAGATACTGTCCATAGCACCCACTGACTATAACAGTCACTTTTCTCTTAAATCCTGAATGATAATTATAATATATATAGATATGCTGTACCTACAAAAGCTGATAACAGTAGTGTGTCATGGTTATGACTCCAGTTGTTAGGGAAACACTTCTATTACCCCTTAGTCTAAACTATGTCCATGTACTTATTGTGGTCGTTATTGTATCTAATCACACCAGTGTCTGTGGCAGAATGGTTAGGCTCTTCATCGCTGTAGGTAAAAGATGTCAGTTCAATACCCTTATTGATCTAAGAATTGTTTCGACGAGGGTGTACAATATTCATAATCATGACAATCCTCTTTGTGTCACTGAAATAAAGAGACTCAGTATAATTTAAGAAAGCTTTTGACTGGATATGATTTTAGCTTGGATTGCTTTGAGTGATCTCAAATTCTGTCACTTAAGTACCGATAATTGCGGTGTGAACTATTTTATTCAGTTTTTACTCAAAATCCACAAGCTTTATAATTATAGAATTTATGTTAAGTGGTGGGAGGGAGCCTATGGTAGGTCTTGCTTCTTTATCATCTGTCTCTTGTTTCTGTGTATCTTGCCCTCCCCCCCTCCCCCCTCTTAAAAAAAGCTCTAAATACATGACCATTATTATGACAATGTACTTCTCTGTACTTCAACTCCAATTCAGAATTTATACATGTATTCTCTTTTATTTTAGAATCAGTTGTAATTTTGAAAAGTTATGGTGTTTTGTATTCTCTTACCTCTCAGGATTTTGAGGGACCTAAACATAATGATACATAGCTTAGAGCACTGGGGTTATGAGATGGAGTAAGACTGCTTTAAAAATGTTGGTTTTCTTTGGATCTATATGTTACTAAGACGCGCGATGGTTTGTATTACTACTGAGAATTTGTTGCAAGTGCACTTGTTTCCTGTTGTGAATTGTACTTGGATGTGCACTGATAAATCTTAATGAATAAAACGATAAGTAAAACATGATATGAGTTTAGTTAGTCATATGTCACCCTGAAAATGTATCTGAAGTCTGAAGGACTTCATCTTTAACCTCTCGACATAGGGGTGCCTAGCTCCTGACAGACAACTTGGCGAGCAGCGGTCACAGTTGGCAGCATGTCACAAAAGGGTTCACGATTAGAAATGCCTAGTCAAGAGAGGAGCCCGCAAGTTGCGCACATCCACGACTAGAAATGGAAGCTTTTTTTAATTTCTCGAAAGTTGGCAAGCTCTTCTCTGTCAGAGTTGGTCTCATTGGCTGTAACAGAAGCCATAAATAAGTAATCTTAATCCTAATTTCTATTTTGCTTAATTTCAAGAAATATTGTGTCGATATGCTTCTCTTTAATCAAACAAACGAACGAACAAACTCAAAAACCAGTATATGTGTGTGTGTGGTGTTAATGTTCCGCACGTCCTGCTGGTCATTAGTATGTCCAATCCTCACTGGGACAACAGGCGTCAGCGGGTGGTTGGCGGATGCTCTGTTGTGGTTTCCTTTTCTGTCCTATGAAACATCTATCGTCCTTATCTCTCCTCCTCTTTTTTAAAACTGTTACCCTCTTGTGACACGCCCAGTGTTCGGCACCTATATGACCGTATTGTGTTGCAAGTGCCGTAAAACGCTCACTACAACAAGTCAAGAGGGGAAGTTGGCTGAGTATCCCCGTCTTTCTGCTGGGATGTTATGTCTCACTCAACCTGGGCTGGCCCTGACATGCAGAGTTGAAGCAGCCCGCCTCCTACAAGATCTGAACAGTGTCGATCAGGGCGTAATACATTTCAATTTAAAAAAACCCAAAACTAATTTGCTTGAATTGTCAAACTCAAAGCCGCTGCACCAGTGTATGAGGAGAGGTGTCAATCACACTTGTCCTTCTGACGGCGGTGTTCTGTGTGACGTCATTCGACCCGCTGACCTGTAGAGACACGCTGTAGATGTTTCCCGCCTCCTCACCCACGGACTTAGTCGAACGTCCGGAGGCAGTGGAAGGTCGATACTTATCTCTGTCCTTGGTAGAATTCGTGGGCTCGTTGGTTTTGGCCGTGTTGTTGCGGTTCATCAGTCCCTCATAGAGCAAACCAACCCGACGGTTGACAATGAAGGAAAGGAAAATGTAAACACCTTGAAGAGCTATCAACGACGACACCACGAAATTGAGGACTGTGATGTTAAGTTGGGCGGTAAGGATAGCCAAAGCCCAGAAGACACCGGACAGAGTGGACAGTTTGACGTAAGTCATGACCCCCTGTCTCTCTCGGGTGCTACATTGTTGTTGACCCAGGCGGGCCACTCGAGCGATTTCCCAAACGGTTAACGAGAACAGGAAAGCGTTACAGAGAATCATAACACACATCGGTACCAGCATTGACAGGAGAAAAGTCAGGATGGATCTGGATGTATCTAAGAAACACAAGTGCTTGTCGTAGCCGAAAGACTCTCCCCGAGACAAAGCTAAGTTGAGCACAACCGTTAGTAGGACTATCAAAATGGCACAGCCATAGGCCCCCAAACAGTACCGCAGATGACGCCTGTTGTCCGAGCGAGGATTAGACCGTTGGGGACCAGCAGACGAGCGGAACACTCGGTACATGTGGACACAGCACACACACATCCAGGCGAAGGCAGACAGCCAGGCTAAGTGTAAGAGAACGGCATTGGTCAAGCAGGCGGCAGGAGGAATCTCTCCACGATTTCCATGCTCTACAGAGACGAGGAGAAAGATCTGAGCAAGAGCGAGAGAGACACACAGACCGATGTTATTCTTGCCTGGGACGGAGCGGAGGCTTGGGAACAGACAGTATGTGAACACCGTCACCATGAGACACGCCGTCGACACGCTAAAACACGTAATTTCGAAATAGTGCTGGGCTGTCTCCAGTAAACTTTTCACAGCTCTCATAACAGGAAAATGGATTTGCTTGTAGCTGTCAATACAAACGTGTAGAAGATTTTTGTCCACGTACGCCATATTTTCCGCGCTGTAAGACACATCGACCACCCCGTTTTTATAAGGAACGTGGAAAATGATTTCATCGCTCTCTGACTCGCGAGTAAAGTTCTCAAGTATACTCACACTGACAAAGGGGCATGAGATTGTGTTTGTGAGGTCTATAAATGTGTCCTTCGAATGCCACCGATGTTCAATTTCTGGTACGGTAAATCCAAGTCTGAGAACGAGAGTTTTTTCCTCAGTGAACTCGGCTGTTTCGGGTTCGGGGCAATTCATCAGCTCAAGTAGTTCCTGTGGCTCTAGAACGGGGTCAGACAAAGGTTGACCTACACTCTCCTGGATAACATTAGTAAAGTCCGCGGACAACGAATAATTGTAAACTTCTGCATTAGAACGGTTCAGTCGCTGATGAAGATGGTATCCCATGACAATAGGTTTAAAGGTAACAAGCGGTTGTTGTTCCTGGCTTGTCCTATTCACCACCCACGCTTCCTGCAGCAATCCCAGAATACCCGTCTCAAGTTCGTCTCTGGCGATACTGATTTTGCCCATGATGTAAGCCGTAAAGCTGACCGACTTCAGAATCTGAACCCCGGATGGATTGACAAAAACTGTCAAATACATGTGCACTTCGCGGTCTTCACACATGGGAGAGAACTTGTTATGAATGAGATGGCTCAAAAGTTTCACTAGGGTTTCGGAGACAGCAACTTTCCTGTCTGGAGACAGAGTGACTGACAGAACGTAGCTCAGGCCTCTGATCCCGTCTACAGCTGTAGCACAGTTACCACTGGTCTCCAGGCGCTTACCGGGGGAACATGATGCTCTCTCACAGCCACCTTGCTGAAAATACAAACAAACACTAAAGACAACTTGCAGTATGAAAATCCCCCAAAACAAAACATTGCATCCCACAGCCATCATCATCATCATCATCATCATCATCATCATCATCATCATCATCATCATCATTATCATCATCGTCGTCGTCGTCGTCGTCATCGTTGTCGTCGTCGTCGTTGTCATTGTTTTACAGTAGAGAATATTATGTATAATGGAGACTTTAATAATATTTCAGGCAAGCTGGGTGTATTCATTAAAACAATATTCAACCTTTTGCCCAGATTCAGGATTCATCAGGAATACATCTCAAAAGAAACACAGAAAAAAAGAAAAGCTGACTAGGTATTGGGGCAGGCTTCAGCATGGTGCAGGCAGAGCGTATAGATAGTTTAATTTAGTAAGAGTTTTACGGCGCTCGCAACTGCATAATGATGGTCATATTAATATGAGCCCTGGAAACACAAGTTAGTTGCTTTCTCAACAGTTCACAGCAAAGCTCGGTTTACACCAATGAGTCAATTAAAATGTTAAAAATGTGTGGTAAAATATCAATCTAAAAATGATAACTTACGGTACTTAAGATAAAATTGCGGTATTTATAATTTATTGTAAAGGCCAATGGCCTTTATGAAATCGAGAATTCTGTTGGGATCAATGACAGAGAACAGATCTTTCAGTTTTAGTTTTGCGATCTTAAAATACTTCCCACGGGTCTCTCCAAAGTCTGGACATTTTGTAAAGATGTGTCTTATGTTCAAACTTGGGTTACAAATTTTTCATCTCCCTAAAGGAGGTATTTATGATGTCTCAGAGAGGTGTGCCCGAGTAATCGAATAAGAATGGCTTCGTCTCTTCTGGAGAGGCCCGAAAGTTTTCGTGGACCCAGTTTGGGCATGATGTTGTGAAGTTTATTATTTATTTGTTTTCTTCAATGCGTCTCCCACAGACTGAAGGTGTATTTTAAAAAAAACTTTTTTTCTAAAGTCAGTCTGTGGGAGAGTGTTTGTCGTTGATCCCAACAGATGGGAAGGATTCCTTCGCCAGGAGATCCACCTGCTCGTTTCCTCGGATGCCCGCATAGCTAAGGTAGCCTCGCAAACACGATACTTGCCCCTGTTTCAGTCAAAACGTGTATTTTTTTGTTGTAACCTGTTTTCGGGTATAAGAGTGTGTATTTTGTAAGTGAGGTGATGCAAGACAGAGAGTCAGATAGGATGGATCGAGTTTTCCCGAATCGGCACTGGAGACCACCCAGCGAGCTCGTCGTCCCCAGAAAACACACGAGTCGCTTGTTAATCATGTTTTTTTCTATTAGTTTGCACAGACCGCATGTTTGGGCGATTGGTCTGTAGTTGAATGGGCGTTTGTGGTCTTTGTTTAGTTTGGGAAATGGAATGACTGTGGCAAGTCGCCAAGACTTCGGAAAGGTGTGCGACCGTCACATGTCGTTGTGTGTATATATA